TGAATTATCAGTCTAGCATAGTATTTGAATTCTGATATTTGGATCTACAACCAAATCTTCCTTGCCGTGCACTCATATTAATAATTCTTTAAAGTCTAAGGAATAGCCTTTAGTTGAATGCTACTTACTACAAAAAAATTTTAAGTCTATTTAATGACATCTGTGGGGTTATTTTTTCTCTAAGAGAATCATTTTTATGTACAAATGTACAAATTGTACAAATACATTTGCTATACTACTTAAATATAAATAAAATCAGAACACATTTGTTAAGAAACAGATTTTCAAATGACATTAGCTGGATTTTCTTCCGGAAGGAAAGGACTTGCTCATTCAAGAAATACTTCTGCTGCATCTTCTATGCACCAGGCATTTTCCGAGATACTGGACACATAGATTATTCCCTCAAAGAGTTCATATTTGCCCTGAGCACATGATTATGACACTAGTCAGATGGAAGAGTCTTCAGTAATATCTCTAGTTCTGTGAACACAACTGTGACGAGAAAATTCATACAGAGCATAGTCATGGTTCCCTTACTGAGTGACTTTAATAATTGAAATCATTTATCTAAAATGTCTCATAAAATAAAGTGTTTTGTCCCCTAAACTATGTTTACATTATGCCATGAAAATGCCTTCCCAACATGAAGATAGAGGAGTAGGAAAAGGGAAATGGGAAAAGAATGAATAATGAATATTTTTTTAAGACCCACATATGATGCTAAGATCTTACACGTATTATGTCAGTCAATCTGTACAATACACCTATTTAGGAAAAATACTATCATTACCCCTATGTTATGCGTGACAAAACTGAGTCTTAGACTGGGTAAGTACTTTCTCCCAAGATCACAAACCATAGAAATGGTCTTGGGTATCACATCAATACCAACTACAATCTGATTTCCCAATTAGGCAGCCATATTTATGTGTCCTCAACAACTTATGAAACTAATCTCTCCCGTTTACTGGAAGATGACTGTGCACTAAACACTGTACTATTTTATAACCTCTGTCTCATTAGGTCCTCATAGCAAACCCTGAAAGACAAGGACTATTAACTCTGTTTTAGAGAGGAAAAATTAAGTCTCAGGAAGCTTAGCTAACCTGCCTAAATCACCTTGTCTAATGAATCAGGGAGCCAGAGAACCAGGAATCAAACCCTGGTCGGTGTAACTCCAAAATCCATGTATTAACTATGACTCTATGCTTTTAAATTATAGAAGGTCCTTTGTTTTCATCCACTCTATGGACAACCACTAAGGCCTTTGTTTTTCCCATACTCATGAATGCTTCTCAGGGTGTACAAACATGTTATGCATCATACAGAGTTGCCAGGTCAAGGGGAAATTAGAAGCTGAAATCTAGCCCCCACTGTACCTAAGGCACACCCTCCTTGCCAGGCAGTGCCCCTGGCATAGGACTACATCTCTCCAGAGGAACAGGCTTTTCCCAATTTATGCAAAGGTACTATGTGGTCTACAGGCATCCTTGCTGTCTGGGGCAGCTTAAGTATTTAGGACCATAACCCTCTCCAATCTCATTCCTCTCCCTCCATATTCTCCATAAAACTTCCTGTGGTAGAGAGGAACCAGCTTTAGCCATCTGGGGCTAATAGAGGTGTCTTCATGGAAGATCTTTTGCTGGATATCTGTTGCAACTCCAACCTTAGGCCCTGATGGATAAGTCAGCTCAGGAAAGCTCATATGTGGACTGAAATTGTGTGGCCTTCTTGACTCTGAGCTACAAAGGTCACCTCATTCTTGTTCAAATCCAAATAGTCACATAGAGTATGCTGTGGCAGTATAGTAGAAGTGGAAAGAGGACAGGCTTTGCAGTTAGCCATGCTTGGCTTTGAATCCTCTGAGTCATGGTTAAGTCCTTGGAAAGTCTCAACTTCTTATGCCTTTCAAGTGGAGGTATAAGCAACCTCATAGGAGTAAATGAGCAGTGTCTATCACTTACTCAGTGGCTCAGTAGCCAGTCTGGGTTGGCATTCTGGCTCCACCCTTGTGCTAGTCTTGCTAACATTAAAAGCATCATCAGCTCATTTGTTCACATCATTTGGTGGATATACTCCCAAACTAATAACATAGACTCATCAACCAGAGTTGGCATCACCTGTAACTGACTGAAAGTCTTGGGAATGGAGACCCACGGTCTTTGAAATGTCTCAAGTGCAACTATGACATTCTCTGCTCTGCTTGGATGGGCCAGGAAAAAAATGGTCTTATCTCAGAATTGGGAGACCTAGCCAAACAGGTAGAGACAAGCATGTTGCAAAGAAAAGGGAGAGGGGGACGTTGAGGGCATGGTCACAGGTGTTGGTAAAGGTGAGCCTGATTGACTTGGCAGGTGGAAGAGTGAGAGTTGGATTTAAATCAAGATCTCTGCAGGATAAGAGAGGCTGGTGATTCGGGCATGAGGAATGGCTGGAAGAGACCATAGACCTGCCCTCAGAGGCACCATTAGCAGAAGAACAATACTGCCATGGTGGAGACAAGCGTGACATTGTCTTCTGCATGGGTTGTAAGTGCCTACCTGGAACTTAGGTGTGTGCATCACTTTGGAGCCCCGCAACTTCTAGGCGGTGAGGACTTAGCTAGGGCTCCTCTTTCATAGGCTGTAGGCTGAATGAGAGTGTTTTTGTCCTCTGGCCTTTTGGGTCCTGTTCTCCCACGGCTGCCTCCCCGGGGCTCAGGACAGATGAACTGACACCTGGGCTCTCCTCTAGAACAGAAGCATCTAGGTCACATTCCTCTGGAAGACAGATGAGCCTGATATTACAGAGACTGAGGAGATGGTGGAGTTTTCTAGAGGAAGGAGTTCAAATTAAACCCCTGTGAAGCCCTCCAAGGGGCCACCTGTTCCTGTGCACATCATTAGCTATATGACAAGGGAAATTTGAGGAAAGGACAAACGGCCCTCTTCATTCTTATTCTGTCCTCCCCTGTCTAGACCCAGAGCTCCCAGCTCTCTGAAGCTGGCCCAATTAAATGGAAATCTAAGCGAGCTTAATAATGCAAAGCATTAGCATCTTACCCCACGAGTGCTCCTTCCCATCTGACAAGCTCTCCTTTTCAAATTCTTGTTTCATCATTCAGCCTAGCAATTCAGCAGCTTTGGATGAGGTCATGTTAGTTTCCTGCAGCCCCACATTCTGGGCCCGACTAGCACCGCTTGGAGGGGCTGAGTGCTTTGTAGCCTCTCACAGATCTTCCCGTTAGACTTGCCAACCGCTCAGTGGAATGCGCTCCAGCACAGGAGGGGAGGATGCTAGAAGGACCTTGCAGGTGAGAAGCACAGGTACCCATGAAGCTGAGTTTTGGTCAGCCTCCTGACAGAGCAATAACTCTTTATGGCAAACATTTGGTAAGAATCACCCAAAGTTTTTGGGAAACAGAGTATCAGGTATTAATATACTCAATATTAATAAAATATTAAATTATTAACATCTAATTTATTAAAGATTCTGTTAACATATGTAATGTATTTGTAGATGTTAATGTATTGAATACTAATTATTAATATTGAATATATTACCATCAAAACATTGAATATTAATCAAATATGTAATTAAATATTAGATATTTTCATAACTATTTATCTGTGATTCTATTAAGGCTGCTTCATTGTTGGTTTTTCTTATTTATGAGATTTAAAAACTCTTGTAGACTAGTTGAAAGACCATTTGGAGATACAGAGACTAAGTTAAGTATATGGAACTTAAGTGTATTCAGAGAGCAATGAGAAGATAAGATCTGTGGGTGTATGCATTTGTATAAAACATAAAGAGGCAAAGAGGCCAAATAGAACTTCATTTAAGCAAAATAATATATATATTTTTGCTTTTTTAAAATCAAACTTTCCGGAGTGCCTGGGTGGCTTGGTTGGTTGAGCATCTGACTTTGCCTCGGGTCATGATCTCACGGTTTGCGGGTTCAAGCCCCCCCCACCCCCCCCCCACCCCCCGCCGCGTTGGGCTCTGTGCTGACTGACAGCTCAGAGCCTGGAGCCTGCTTCGGACTCTGTCTCCCTCTCTCTCTGCCCTTCCCCTGCTCATGCTCTGGCTCTCTCTTTCTCTCAAAAATAAATAAACATTAAAAAAAATTTTTTTAAATTAAATCAAACTTTCCTTGAACTTTTCTTAGTTTCATTGAGATATAATTGACATATAACATTGTATTAATTTCAGGGGTACAACATAATAATTCGAGGAGATTTGTATGTATTATGAAATGATTATCACGAGAAGTCTAATCAACATCCATTATCATACACAGTAAAGTAATATATTTCAAAGACGTTTTCCTAGTTGTTTCCTGATTTGTGGTAATCAAAATATGTTATATTTCGTTGAGATTGTACATGATTTGTACATTATTACAAAGTGATTATAATTGTGCTATGGATCAGGAGAGCTACTATTAAATTTTACCCAACAGATGCAGCAAACTATTTTAACAGGGTTTCTCTTTTACTCTTTTATCATTGGAGCATAAAGCAATAAGTAGTATAAGAAAATTCATCTCAGTAGAAAAATTGGTTCATATGGTTTCCGCAACATTTGCAAAATTTCATTTTTGTTATAATAAAAAGTCCAATCTTTACATTGTAATTTACGTTTTTCTGAGACAGATGGAGCATTACCAAATTTAAACCCTAGTGTGGTGTGGGGTTTCAGACATTCTATTTGCTGAATTTTAATAGATGCACTAAAGGCATGGATTGCCCATGAGCTGATTGTCTTTTTTATTTATCATACCTGCATACGATAAGACACTAAGGCTTCTTTTATGTTTCAGTCTACAACAAGGTTCTGGTTGCCCACATGTTTACATGTGTGCTTATGACAACATTGTTATGAATAGCTCAAGACTGGAAAGAACAAATCCGCTGTTGCTATTAAAGAGCCATATCCATTTACTCGGGACTGGGCCCATTCACAAAGGAGTGGGGTAGTCACTCCATAAAAATGCACCTTTTTCCTCACCTCAGCAAGAGGCCATTACAGAGGAGCTCACCTGTTAATGTCCGCTGTTGTCTTCACTTTGGAGGACCTCATTGTCACTCTCCTGGAGGCAGGTGAGAGCCCTTTCCAGGATACTCATCCCCCATTCTCTTACACCATTCTACAGCCACGCTTTCCCGTAATTACCACAGAAGGACTGTTTTCCTGTTTTCTGTCGATGTGATTACATTATATTAACCAACATCTGATAATACTTTGCAGTGTGTTAACTTGTGGAGCCCAAGGTTGGAGTAAAATCCCTCCAATGTAATGCTCTGCAGATTTACACTGCAGTTCCTTTAGATGGTAATTACGCTTAAGACCAGATGGTTTCATGCAATCTAACTTTTCTATAATGAATGAAAATAATTTGAAGACTCATAGGCCTCTCTCTTTCATTACAGAATGTACAGGCTTTTCCCACACCCTTGTTCTGGAACATTAAGAAAGAAGATATGGAGAGAGAGAAGAAAGAAACCGAGGACCCCCTGCTACTATTTCTATAAACAACTAGTGGTGTTTAAAGGCTAATAAAGCTCCAAAGATCTCTCTTATAACCATAATCTTTGGGCCAATTTAAAAATATTTGTGATGGAGAAATGTCAAGAAAAATAGAGACAATTTCTTAAGACATGATTCTCTTCCCTCCACCTCCATAAAAGACTATATATATATATATATATATATATATATATATATATAGCTGTCATATAAGAGGCAATTGAAATTCCACAGCACAAAGGCAATGCAGAGAGAGGAAGAAAAAAAGAATCAATCTTTCATATGTTTTTTTCAAAGGCTTGGCAAGAAACCAGGGGTAATATTTTTGCAACTGGGAATGTGTGTTTGCTGAAGAATATTCCCACATTTGAATCATCGTCAGGGGTCCTAGTCTTGTTTTACTTTCAAAGGTAGAGAGGGCATAACATTAACCCCAACTGGGAAAAGGAAAATGCCTCACTGTAATTCTCCTCCAGGGAGCAGGAATAAAGGGATTACACATGCCTGCATAATGGAGAATTTCCTCACTCAGACAAGACAAAAGACTTCATTATTTTTCACCAGACACTTGAAGCCTTGTGCGTCCCAGTTCCAGAAGACAAGCAGGCACCAATTTGTTTTGTATCAGACCACTAGATGGAGTTTCTAAGAAACTGGCTTGCTAGTACTTGCCATCATGAAGAGATATGGGGAAGATGATGAGATCCTAATACCACAACTCTGTGGTCTTTCCCCTAAGGAAAGCTAGACTGTCCCTCAAGTTCGTGGTGTGTATTTTCAATACTATTAGCTTTGCTTTTTCTCTAGGCAACAAATAAGTGAATGTTTTCATCCTGAAAATGTATTTCTTTTATCTTCAGGGGAGACCAAAAGGCATCTAAATTCTAATGAAAAATTTAAAGTGGCAAAATATAACTTAATTGAATATTCAAATACTTTTCCTTCTGACTAGGTCTATTACTGAGGAATTTTAATGATGTGTGCATTCTTATTGGTAAAGTTGTAAAAGTCTCAAAATCCTTACTTATTTACTATTTCAGCTCGGTAGTAGATTCATATAAGACACCGTGTATGGGGACCATGTTCCCAGGGACAGATCAGATCTCCCATTTAAGAAATTGAAATGAGTTCAGCTCTGCCTCATGTAGGCTTGAAGGTCTCCCTTCACAGTCACAGAGACTATAGATAAAGATTTATAAATTTTCTACCTGCAAGAAGCAATGTCTGATTTTTTTTTTTTTATTACTATCTCAGGGCCTCATCTGTTATAGGTGTGCAGCCCATTTCTTGAGTAGCATAGTATTCTAACTGGAGATAAAATCACCTTCCCCTTTGAAAAGCATATTTCAAACACATGCGGTGTGTGCTATTTGTGATTATTTCCGTGCCTCAAAATGTTTGATCTTCGCAGTATTTCACGATTTACTCATTTCACAAATATTTATTAAGCACCTACTGTGTACAAGGTGAAGTAACAAGTGAGCAGTAACTAAGTCAACCTCTGCTCTCTTAGAGCTTTTTGGAGTGAGGCCCACACAAGGAACTGAAAGGCCAAAGAGGTTGACTGGCCGGAGCAGGGGGTCCCTGATGGTAAAAGATGAGGCAGGTCCTATGGGACTTTGAAGTTATGCTGAGCTTCTTGTCTTAGTCTTACTCTGAAGAGCAATAGGGTTGTTGAAGACTTTAAGACAACGATGACAACTGTCTTAGTTGCCAATTGCTGTGTAACAAGTGACTCCAAAGGTTGGTGATTGAAATAACACAGATTAATCTCACAGCCTCAGTCAGGAACATGGGTGTGGCTTAGCTGGGTCTCTCATAAGGCTGCAGGCCTTTTGACTTGCCTGGGAGGAATCCCCTAACTAGCTCACTGTCACCGGTCTTTTTTTTTTTTTAAGTTTATTTATTTATTTTGAGAAAGACAGAGAGGGCGTGAGTTGAGGAGGGGCAGATTGAGGAGTTGAGGAGGGCAACTGCCCTGAGGAGGGCAGTTGAGGAGTTGAGGGCAGTTGAGGAGAGAGATTGGGAGACAGAATCCCAAGCAGGCTCCACACTGTTCAGCACGGAGCCTGATGTGGGCCTCGAACCCATGAAACCATGAGGTCATGACCTGAGCTAAAACCAAGAGTCTGACGCTCAACTGACTGAGCCACCCCGGCACCCTTCTCATGGTTCTTAATAAGATTTAGTGCCTCACTAGCAGTTAAATAAATGCTTTGATTCCTCATGCTCTGTTAATGGAAGACCACCCTCATTCCATAAGAAGGGAATCTCTCCACAGAACATCTCATGACATGGCAGCCTGCTTGGGCAGGTCTTTTGTGACCTATCCCATCCCATTTGCCTTACATCGGCGAGGAGCAAGTTGCCCACATTTCTGGGTTGCACAAGGGCATGAAAACCAGGGAGGAGGTATCACTAAGGGCCATCTGAGAAACACCTACACAGTAACATTGCAGGTGTTCATTTCAGAGGTCATGTGGCTGGGGATAATAATGCAACATGTTTATTGAGCGTGGATGCGTAGAGACAGGTTAAGAAGCTGCAGCTCTAGTCCGTAACATATATCGCCGTTGAGCAGAGTCAGAACAGAGGAGACTTACCCCCCAGTGTGAACCTCTGTCACATTTGCTTTTCTGTCCTCCACCCTCTGTCGAACGTTTTAATACCAACCATGGCATGGGGCGAGACAGAAAAGTAAATAACAGCAACTAAAATGTAAACAGAGTGTCAGTGTTTCCAAAGACTGGCACATTCATAATCATAGTTGGTCCTCCCAACTCACTCCCTATGAAGTTGCTGGAAGAGGTGTTATTGTTCCCCATTTTACATATAGGACATGGAGGCTCAGAGAATGCCCATCACCTGCTAGAGGTCCCACAGCCGGCAAAGGCTGAGGTCGGAACTGCACAGTCCTAAACCTTGGTGTTCTCAAATCGACTCCTCCATTAGTCTTCAGTCCAAGGCAAAACTTTCTGTTCAAGCCCTGATGCTGGGTAGGAAAGTACTAACCTGATGTGCTAATTGAACCTTGAGACTAGCAAGTTCGAGAACCAGTCCCACACCTCCCTCAGCGACCTGTGCTCTCCTTATACCTTTACCTCCCTGCCTTGCACTTACCCATTCTGTCCCCTGGCTCTGCTCACGGGTGTGCCAGCAACCGCATTTCCTAGAACACGAGGACAAGTGATCAAACGGGCCCCTAAAGAACTCACTGCCTAATAAGGGAGGTGACCAATGATGACCAAATGCCATAAGCGTTGAACAAAGTGTGGTTAATAACATGCTACAGAAACATGGAACATAAAACATTTCTCTTGCGGGTGAATATTCTTTTCTCACTTTATGTTACTTATCAGGACTCATTTATGTCTGAGTTTGTGACTATATTACACATGTCAGAATACTTTTTGGTAGTTCATAGTTTGGATTACAATATATGCTTGTGTATAATAAAATTGTATTTCCTTTTGAAAATAATAAAACAAACTCCTACCATACTTCTGTGTGAACCTTGGCACATTGTATTAGAGAATGTGAAACATCTTCATGGAATTCGATTGTGCCAGATTGAAGTGAATAATTTTCTACCAAGGCTGTTATTTTCCAAAATAACAAAATATTGTACATTATTAAAGAAGGTGATGATGGCTTATGTATCAGGCTGTTTTCTTTATGCAGAAACATCATAATATGACCTTCTTTCTCTACCTGCTTCAATGTCCAGATGTCCTCAGGGCAGAGCTATTATGCAACTTCTTTCCTTGCTCCCTACATCTCCTCTCCTATCCCAGATTTATGTCTTTCCATATGAATTCCTCCTTTCATCCGTAGGAAACCCATTTTGGGCAGCTAGCTTTTTTGTATAATGTAATTAGATTTTTCCCTTGTTTTCTTTTAGACAGATTTATGTATCTGTAGAAAAGTTGTTTCTTCTATACTATTACCTGTTGTTTTTATGGGAAAATTATCATAGACAAATAGCTAGTTATTAACTATAATGGATACAGTGTGAACAAGAGGATTTTGAATTTTAACGTAAGTAACATCCACCACCATCCTTAGAAGAGGAATAAAAGCCTTCAAGAGCCTTCAGATGAACTGCCTTTCACGTGCCCAACCTCAATCCCTGCAAATTGCCTTAACCCAAGTGTTTATATAGCCATTTGCTAGATGAATGTGGCCCCTAGTTTTCAGCTAAGAAACTCTAGCATTTACCTATAGTGTCCTACTTCAAAAACCACTGGATATGCAAAGGCAAGAGTGAGCTATCAGAGCATTTGGTCTGAGAAGAGACTCAACAAGAAGGCTGCTAAAAGAAAATGGAGATGGTTGTTGACCTTTATTTTGGACCAGACGTGGCAGCGGTGCTCGGGTGCATGGCTGGCATAGGAGTCAGAGACAGTCACACTAAGCCTGAGGCACCAAAGGCGACCTCTTCACACCATGGAAAGATCGCTGCGTCTGCCTGATTTCACTTTGCTCAGGTCACGAGGGTACGTTTGGAGTTCCAGGAAAAGAGGCAGTGGGTAAGAATTCCTCTGTTCAGAGAACACAAGGCTCTGGCAGGGTCCCCTGAGTGAGGAAATGAAAACCATCAAGGTGTAGCCTTGGCTCGAGCAGAACTCTGAAGTCACTCGTTACACGATTTTACTGGCTCAGAGTTGCTGAGCCCAGTGTTCTTTTTCTCATCACTATCTGGTTTGAAATTGTACTAACAAACACTGTTATATACACAGAAGAAAGTGATAGGAAGAGGAAATGGAAGCCAATGCTTTTATATATTTTATGCATAGAAGTGGCTATCTTAGTCTGATGAAGCACATGTTTTCTGGTTGCAGAGTCGAGCTAAAAACCAGTCCCCCTCACCCTGAGCTCAATGAGTGACTCATACAGAGAACAAAGATTCACATGTCACATGTATGGTTGAAATTCCAGCCCATTTTACGATTAGGTTCTCAATTCTCTAGATAGACCCCAGTGGGAAAGAAAGGACTGATCTTGAGCCAGAAAGGAAAGGGGGGTTGCCTTCTCACCACACTTCAGCTTTGCTGTTGGTGGAGGGGATGGAAGAGACGCCATGGGATTCGGAGTCTTTCCAATGGTGAGCACACCTCCACCCTCTGTTGGGACCTTCCTGTCTTGTTCAGTCAGAGGAGGGAGTCTCAGTAGGATCCACAGAGCCACCCCAGTGGGCGTGGGTGTGTTAAGATGACTTGGGTGCTGGGACATCCATGAGGTTCTGGAGTCAGTAGATGCATTCCCAACTCTTTCCCAGCAAGAATGCCTGGGCCTGCTCACACTGGGCTGTGGGGCAGACACCAGCAGTCCCTTATCACAGGCAGCTCAAGGCCAGAGAAGTTCTTCCACTTCAGACGTAGCACGGACGATGGCCAGCTCAAACTTGTATACTGTAATCAAGTTGTATGTGTTTTGTATTTAAGGCCTAAGGGCTCAACTGCTTTAGCGGGGAGTCTTGTGACAAAAAATAAAGGTTACTAAGACAGTGGCTATAGGTTAAGCCTTGACATTTACACAAATAGGAGGGATCTATAGATCTATGCCAGGATAACACTCTTCTCCAAATGGATGTGCTCAGGATGCTTCATGATTTGCAGTCCTTAGTCCGAAAAACAAATCTTAGTATACATAATATGAGATCGTGCTAAACCTTTGTGAATTCAGCCTAACTTATAAATGCACCTTCCTATGCGACACCATTCTGGTCATGGAACTAAGCACGGTCTGTCTATCACTGCCATAAATCCTTGGTTTTTTATAAGATTTTGAGTCTGGATTTTATCTCAAAATGGTCCATGTGCTTATTGAACTAAAAAGAGTGATTTGGGGTGGGGGAGGGGGTGGGAGTTGCTTCCTGTAACTCCTTTCCATTCATCGGATTTGCATGATTTTCATGGGTATTTACCATAATTACCTTCATTGGCATCAAAAGCATTTTTAGCTACTTGAATATACACATGATATCATAAGAGCTGCTTAAAAGTATGCTAAACAGAAATGGATCTTTTTCTTGAAGATCTTAACTCCGAGACAGTGATGATATAATTCAAAGTCAATCTCGATACACATTTTAGAAAACGTAAATATGAAAGTTTTATGTAAAGCAATGACAGAAGTTATGTGTTCAAGTGTTGAATAAATACAGCATCATAAGATTTGCATATCATAAAATCATTGCATTGGAGATCTGTGAGTTTTCTTTGAGATCAAGGTCATGTCCTCACTTTACCAATAAGAAAACTAAGCCCAAAGGTCACTCAACTAGTCCGTGACAGTGTCGCCTGTGGAACACAGGCCTCCGAGTCCCCTGTATTATTTTCTTTCCACTTGACTGCTACATCAAGGGAATCGTTGTAATTTCCAGTTGGAGAGAACTTTCTGGAAAAGGAATTTTGTTTTCTCTTCAAATCATTCACACCCCAAGTGTCGAGTCACCCAATTGTCTTCCCTCATTAGCAAATCTGAAACTATACCAGCCTAGGTATGGTTTAAAGAGGGAATGCCTTAAAAAAGCATCAGAGTTTCATGATTCCAGAGAAAGTAGTAACTGGTTACCTATAAGCCATAGACTTTAGACTGAGGTTTCTTTAGGTATTAATCACAGCTGTAATTGCTTGCTTCTCTTTACCACTAACTTTTGCCTCTAACTTTATGCTTTCCTATTGTCCTGGAGTTCTGCAAAATCTCCTTGGAACATATATTCTATCATCCCAGAGGCCTGGGTGGACAAATCCTTCCCCAGAGGGCTGTTATTAGAAACCTCCTTGTCTAGGGGCGCCTGGGTGGCGCAGTCGGCTAGGCGTCCGACTTCAGCCAGGTCACGATCTCGCGGTCCGGGAGTTCGAGCCCCGCGTCAGGCTCTGGGCTGATGGCTCAGAGCCTGGAGCCTGTTTCCGATTCTGTGTCTCCCTCTCTCTCTGCCCCTCGCCCGTTCATGCTCTGTCTCTCTCTGTCCCAAAAATAAATAAACGTTGAAAAAAAAAAAAATTAAAAAAAAAAAAAAAAGAAACCTCCTTGTCTAAATGCAAAACCAACATCATGCCTACCTATGGTTAGGCTGGCCCTACCGCTAGCAGAATCCTGATGGCAGCTCTCCCCTTGGGTAGGGGGAGGCAGGTCGTGGTGGGCAGGAGATTTCTGTTTATTTTCTAGCACCACCGCGAAGCTCTGACAGTTCTGCTTTGTAAGTGTTCTTGACACAGAGCCTCAAGCCCATTTTCCTTTACGGTTATGGGTCATTTGCTGTGTTTTGCCTTATCATTGGTGTTTCCTTAAAAATAATAAGAATAATGAGCAGTTATGTATTATTCATCCCAAGTGTACAGATCATGCATTTATCTCGGGCTCCTTTTTTTTTTTTTTCCTAGAGCTTGCACTCGACAGCGCATGCTGAGTGGATCATTTGAGGGGCAGCCAGCAAAGGAAAGGTCAATTCTCAGTGTGCAGCATCATATCCGCCAAGAGCGCAGGTAAATATACTGGGAGACAAGGCTGCAGAGAAACCAAGGAAAGGAGTTTTATAGGAAATGTTCTCTGTGCGCAGCCCTGGTTAGCAGACAGGCGTGGGTGAGGAACTTTGTTCTGTTTGCTAATGGCAACCATGATGAAACTCACAATCAGTTTCAAAGATTCAAAAAAATCTCGCAAAAACCTTTTCCTTGGTGATGGCCAAATTCTTGCTTTTAAGATCAGAAGGAAAAATTCTGAAATTTTCTAGATGGGATCAAAAACATTTGAATAAACTAAAGCTTCTGCTGAAAAGAGATAATAAGTATTTGTGATGTGTGTTATTGTGATGTGTGTTATTAACAGAAAAGTTGATTTATTTTGTTCTCCTAATGGTCATTGCTTGAAAGTCAAAATTTGGTCTTAGATGTATCGATCTGTTGGTTGTGGTTGTTTTAGATCACTAAGACATGGATCCAACAGCCAGAGGATCAGCAGGGGGAAATCTCTTGAAACCCTGACTCAAGATGTAAGTTCTAAGCAATGCTTTGGATTTGGGAAGCATGATTATGAAAATTCATTTCGATGACTGTTTAGACAATTCCAGCACTTGTGTCCTTCTGTCACATTGTCCTGTCTCCATAAGATTTTATGCCAGAGGGAATCAGGAAACTCAGGAAGCAAATTCAATGGACAGTGCAGAAGAGTGACCGTTAACTGTACAAAAATCCAGACATCCCACAAAACACATGTCTTCATTAAGATAGGCTGGGTGGCTCAGTCGATTGAGCATCTGACTCTCAATTTCAGTTTAGGTCATGATCCCAGGATCATGGGATCAAGCCCCCTATCAGGCTCCATGCTGAGTGTGGAGCCTGCTTGAGATTCTCTCTCTCTCTCTCTCTCTCTCACTCGCTCTCCCTCTGCCCCTCCCCCACTCATGCTCTCCCTCTCTCTCTCTCTCCCCCCTAAAATAAATTATAAAAAATTTTAAAAATTCAAAAATATAAATAATAAAGATGACAATACAAGAGTGATGTGTCAGTTGCATTTAACAGACATTAAAAACACTTAAAGCATTTTATAGAATTGATTTGCATCATAAACTTTAAACATTTACTGATTTCCAAATATTCCAGAATCTAGAGCCAGTGTCTAATTTCAGGGCTTTACATACTAAGAAATAAAATGTGATTTATAGAAGAATTTTTCTGTCAAAGACTGCATAATATTTCCCAAGAATTTCTTTGTTCTTCGACACTATGTCACTCATTTATTTATTAATGGACTCAAAAAATATTTACCAAGTGCTTATCACGTGCCAGGCCCTGTTCTAAGTGATGAGGAGTAGTGGGGAAAGAAGACAAAACTTCTGCCTTCCCGAAGCTTACATTTCAGGAAAAGAGACAAAAACTAAACAAGGAAACAAATATATAATCATTTCTGGGGGTGTTTTTGACTTATTGCCCATTATGTGTTCATTGCTGTGACAGTTTTGCTCTGTACTATAAAGAAAAATCAAATAATGTATAGAAACCAAAGATGGAGATTTGGGGGCAGGAAATTCTAGAGAAGATGGTCAGTGTTGGCGCCTCTGTATCAGACCAGAGACCCGAACGAAGGGAAAAAACAAGCTACATGAAAACCCAGGGAAACCCACGCAACCAGAACTCTAACCTCTGGGTTAGACTCGCAAGCGGCTGTATCATGCCGATTTCTAAAAGAGACTTGAAAAGTACACATTAAGTAATTATCATTACTGGAGTCCTCATTAAAATACAGGTCTTAAGTTGAGTCTGGCTAAATTGGCAGAGTCCTGAATGTTCAGAGCCAAGGATGGTGTTTGAGAAAGGAGGTCTAGAAAGAGAAAGGTAGCAAGCCTTAGGGGTTTTGGGGTTTTGCTTGTCTTTTTTTTTTTTTTTTTTTTTTTTTTTTTTTTTTACCACTTTATCTCTTATTGTTAAGATTTTCTGGAGTTTCCAGCATAATCCAACTGCTTTCAATCTGTAGAAACTTCTGCCTTAGAGTAAACTCTCTTAAGTGTTCCAGGCACAATTGACAATGGAAGACGTTGGTGATGAGAACACCTGATACCATCATTACCCAATTTACAAGGTTCTAATTGGCAGACACATCTGTTAGCGCCATGATTCTTAAGGCAGAGCTCTGTCTGATATGATCTACCATATTATCTGCATGGAATTGTGATCGGATCCAACACATGGCCTGTGTACATTTAATTTGAGGACCAGGCATGTTGCATGGAGAAGATTTCTAGGAGAGAATTCAGAGAGGCAACAGTAGTTCAAAGCACTTCCCTTCAGTGTGATTCAGTAGAAATATATAGTCTACTTAAGAACCAAATTAGAGCACAGCTTTGAAAATATGTGTTTAAATATACACAACAAAAGGCCCTGAATAGTCTCAATTCCAGAGGCTTAGTTCTCCTTCAAAGACTTTTTATGCTCTTTTCTACACAGGCATATAATGAAAACCCATCCCCCATCTTCTCCACAGCAAAAGGTTATGAAGTTCTGCTAATTTCCTAAGAAATCCCCCCTGATGTCATTTCCTCCATAACAGAAGCAATTTAAAACAGAGCTTCAGTTATCTCACTTATTACAAATGATAGAAGATACAGATAATTAAATCTAAGGAATAGTTGTGATAATATCTATCAGGTTATTTGAGCAATGGCCATCCATCTCCCAGGGAGTGAAAATCAGAGTCAGGGTCCTACATGCCCAGGTCCTCTCCCACCCTTCTGGCCTCATTGTCTCCTACCATGTGGATGCTCACCCACACGGCACGCTGGCTGGGCCGCACACAGGCAGACCCACCTCTCCTCTGGAAGAGCACATTTTTGCAGATACACAGCGACCTGCATATCCTTCCAGCCTACACTCAAACAACGTCTTTATATTGAGGTCTGCTATGACCTGTTTAAAGTTGGAGCCTTCTAGAGGCGCCAGGGTGGCTAAGTCTGTTGAGCGTCTGACTTTTGGTTTCAGCTCAAGGTCATGATCTCATGGTTTGTGAGATCGAGCCTGTGCTGACAGGGCAGAGCCTGCTCAAGATTCCCTTTCTCCCTCTCTCTCTGCCCCTCCCACACACTCTTTCTCTAAATAAATGGACAAGCTTTAAAAAAAAAAAAAAAAAAAGATTTAAACTTGGAGCCTCCTAGCACTCTCTGTCCCCTTTGCTTTTTACCATAACACCAAACATTTTCTAACTCTCCCCATATTGTGTTTGAATTTTTATCGGTCTTACCTGACTAGAACATTAGCCCCACAGAGCTGGATTTTTTGCCTTTTGCCATACCCCCAGCACTACAACAGGGCCTGGCACATAATAGGTTCTCAATAAATATTTCTATTTTTAAAAAAATACCCTTTAGAAGGAAAAAAAATACCCTTGCTAAGATGACTGTGGCCACTAAAAATGTATATGTTAAAATAAAGGTATTTCTTTCAGTTTCTTATAGGTGATATTTTCAGGCCTTCAGAAAAATCTTCCATTTTTATATGCCCCTTTTATTATATTTCTAGCATTCCAATACAGTGAGATATAGAAATGCACAAAGAGAAGACAGTGAAATAAAGATGATCCAGGAAAAAAAGGAACAAGCGGAAATGAAAAGGTACGGGGTCCTACGGTGTTTCTTATCTCTTGTTTCTGGATGGCAACCTTTCCCTTAGCCTTACTGTACATCAATTTCCCCTTCAAGGAAAGTGCAGGAAGAGGAGCTGAGAGAGAATCACCCATACTTCGACAAGCCACTGTTCATAGTTGGACGGGAGCACAGGTTCAGAAACTTCTGCCGGGTGGTGGTCCGGGCACGCTTCAATGCGTAAGTACACTCCATTTCAGCCAGGTGTTGGCCTGAGTCGTACAAACAGCAGGGGGGGTTGTCATACAAGGAAGAAGGAACATGTAATCCTAATGGGGTCACAAAATAAACTGTGGGCTAATTAATCATGCTGCTCCTATTTGCTGAGCGGCCGACCAGGTGGAAAACAAACAAAGGTTGCAAGTAGTTCACATTTATATAAAACTCACGTTTGTGAAGCTCTGAACAGCCATTTTTATTTGTTCATGTTTATATCAGCGTTACTAACTCCATATATTGTTTTGGAAATACCGAACCAAAGGGTAGGCTGAATGACACAAGGAAGGTCATTGCCCACACCTTTAGACTTATAGTTTCTGTGTTGTCAAAATACCCTAATTAGTTTCTTCTAGAATAATGTAAAACAGAAATAAAGTTGATGAGTACTTCCATTACCAACTCTTATGAGATAAAAACCCGCTGGCTGATGTCTCTGTCCCTACTCACATGGAAGAAATGTGTAAGAGTCTGTCGGTGTGGTCAACACGGAGGACACTGCATTTGTGAGGACCCAAGCCAATTTTAGCAGACAGACTAGTGGATAAAATGGAATTTTTGTCCTGCGTAACATTAGTAAATACCCTGAAGACCTTAAGAGTCCAGAGGAAGTGTGAAGGCTTTCCCTCTAAGTGGTTGTAACTTCCCTGATGCCGTTATTAGTAACATATGATAATCATTATGTGTTATGGGCTGAATTGTGTGTATCCTCCTGCCAAAAAAAAAAAAAAAAAAAAAAAAAAAAAAAAAAGGTCGTATATTGAAGCCTTAACCCCTAGTACCTCAGAATGTGACTTTATTTAGAAACAGCCTCTTTAAGGAGGTAATTAAATTAAAATAAAATGATTAAGGTGGGCCCTAATCCAATATGACTGCTGTCCTTATAAGGGGGAAATTTGGAGGCACCTGGGTGTCTCAGTTGGACTTTGGCTCAGGTTATGATCTCACAGTTCATGGGTTTGAGCACCGCATCAGGTTCTGTGCTGACAACTCAGAGCCTGGAGCCTGCTTCACATTCTGTGTCTCCCTCTCTATCTGCCCCTTCCCGGCTCGTGCTCTGTCTCTCTCAAAAATGAATAAACATAAAAATTTTTTTTAAAAAAGAGGAGGAAATTTGGACACAGACTACCTATAGAGGGGAGTAATGTGAAGACACAGGGAAAAGACAGCCATCCACAAGCGAAGGAGAGACACCTAGAACAGGTCCTTGCCTCACGGCCCCCAGAATCAACCAACCCTGCCCACACCTTCATCTCAGGCTTCTTGCCTCCAGAACTGAGAGAAAATGTTTCTGTTGTTTAAGCCACTCAGTCTGGTACTTTGTTACACCAGCCCTAGGAAACTAATGCAGTGTGGTAATATTTCAGAGCTGGAGGGCACCTCGTGAACCATTTGGTGTCATTTGTACCCAACCCCCTCCAACAGAGGAGAGCACTTAGAGCAGTAGAGGTTAAGGGCTTTTCTTGGGAACGTGAGCTAGTGCAAGGCTCTCTTCTGACTACCAATCTAGTGTTCTCTCTGCTGTTCTAGAAAGACCCTCACAGTTTAAAGCACCTGAATGATAATGATTAAATACTTCCCTGAGTGTTCACAAAGTAAAGAAAGAAGCCAGTAGTTTAGAGTTGATTTGATCAGTTCCCCAAGTGAGTGTTTCATCTGGAATTATCCTCCATGCTAACATCTAATTGCTAATTCTCCACTTCATTTAGTGTGGACTGACTCTCCTTTTGTCAGCACAGCAGCTGATAAGGACTGAGAAAGACTTGTTAATCGGGAGCTCACACACACACACACACACACACACACACACACACACTGTCTGGGACTTCACTGAAGTTGGTTATGGGCTTCTAGAAAGTAAAACTTAAAAGTGGGGACACCAAGAAATCCTACGTAAATCACTCAACAAGATCACAGTTAAATACAGTAGGAAGAGCTCAATTTAATTTCTGGAGATTTAATTGAATAATCATGAGGAAAATCCTTGAACTGCTAAGGCCGAGATTTTAACTGAGTGTTTTTAAATGGAAGTCAAAATTCTACTTTGTCATATCCATGTCAAAAATTGTTGAGGGACTCCTGGGTGGCTCAGTTGATTGAGCATCCAACTTCGGCTCAGGTCGTGATCTCACAGTTCATGGGCTTTGTACTGACAGCTCAGAGCCTGGAGCCTGCTTCAGATTCTGTGTCTCCCTCTCTCTTTCTCTACCCCACCCCCACACTCTGTCTCTCTCCCTCTCAAAAATAAATAGACATTTTAAAAAAAGTTGTTGAACGGAGGAGGGGCATGTAGGTGGCTCAGTTGGTTAAGCGTCTGACTCTTGATTTCGGCTCAGGTCATGATCTCGAGGTTCACAAGATGGACCCCCACGTCAGGCTCTGCACTGAGAGTGTGCTGCCTGCTTGGGATTCTCTGTCTCCCTCTCTCTGCCCCTCCACTGCTCGCTCACTCTCTGTCTCTCAAAAAAAATAAACAAACATTAAAAAAAGAAATTGTTGAATGGAGTCATGAATTCTAAAATCAAATATTTTGAGAATTTTCAATTACTTTCACAAACATCAGCTGCAAACCCTCCTGCTTTTTCTTTCGTCTAATGCTCTCTGCCTTCCAAAGGCACAGTTCCTGTATAATGTAATTTTATAGAGGATATAAAAGAAATTTTGGGTAGATAAGATGTTTATAAATACCATGCTGCTAAATTATGCTTGCTATGCTGCAGTATTTTGTGTTTGTTCTCTCTTGCAGATCTAAAACAGATCCTGTCACAGGAGCTGTGAAAAATACAAAGTATCATCAACTTTAGTAAGCATTACAAAGTCTGTTTTCTGTGCACATTTGAAATTTCAATGTACTATTTTATGCTGCATAAAAATATAACGATTACCTGTATTTTCTTCCATATCGTGCTGTGAAATAGATAATTAGGGATTTTTTTTTAATGCCAGTCATGGGGCACCTGGGTAGCTCAGTCAGTTGAGTGTCTGACTCTTGATCTCAGTTTAGGTCATGATCTCACACAGTTCATGGGACTGAGCCCCACGTCGGGCTCTGTGCTTACAGTGTGGAGCCTGCTTGGGATTTTCTCTCCCTCTTTCTCTCTCTGCCCCTCCCCTGTTCATGCACACACACATGCACATGCTCTCTCTCTCTCGCTCTCTCTCTCTCTCAAAAATAAATACATAAACATTTGCTTTTTAAAAAACGCCAGTCCTGCTTATAGAATCACAGAAGGATCATCTCTGACTCGCACAGCCTTCCCTAGAACAGTTGTTTCTCGGTTTTGTTTGGTCTTTGGCAGTGATTTGCTGGGATTGGTGACTTACCTGGACTGGGTCATGATCATCGTAACCATCTGTTCCTGCATTTCTATGATGTTTGAGTCCCCCTTTCGAAGAGTCATGCATGCCCCGACTTTGCAGGTACGGCTGCCAAATCTCAGCCCACAGCTCAGCAGACAACAACTGGGCTCCAGTTTTCCCCTTGTTGGTGACCCAGCTGCCTCTTGCCCATTTCAGATTGCTGAGTACGTGTTTGTGATATTCATGAGTATCGAGCTTAATCTGAAGATTATGGCAGATGGCTTATTTTTCACTCCAACTGCTGTCATCAGGGACTTTGGTGGAGTCATGGACATATTTATATATCTTGTAAGTCTCTAGTTATTTCCTAAATGTAAGATGTCATGGTTTTGTGAACTCTCCTGCATTTCTCAGTACAAGAGAAAGATACGTGAGTCCCAGAGGTTTAGATGTCATTACTGAGTTCTTAGGTCATCTATTGCAGGCAAATGAAGGGCATGCATGTAAAGTCTAAATAAAAAGCATTAAAAATGTCCATGGATATGGTTCACATACATCAACCACATTAATACACATGTAAGACATACATTCATAAGGTCTAATAAATCTTATTCGCACCCTGCAATCTTGTGGCTCCCATAAGGAAAAAAAATCTACACCATATAATTGATTGATGAGCTCCTCATTGCTAAAAGCAACCTAATGTGAGTATGATTGGACACTTTCAATTCCAATTTCTTTCAATTCCTATACAAAAAATATCTGCCTAGACAAGATGACCATTCAACTGTTCAGTTAAACTAAATTGGGAAACCATAGGAAGGGAACTCAAAGAAATTTCATTTTTTCTGTATGTCCAAGAAGGCATAAAATCAATGTCTTTTCCAACATAACAAGGAGAATTGTGACCGTTAACATGTAGTATCTTTAGATCATCATTAAAATAGTGAGAATCAGGTCAAGCATGAAGTTTAGTATCCTTGATCAAAGGAATTTCAATCTGAGCTCCCATGTGTAAGTTAAAATAAGGTGCAGAATGCACTGGGGTACATGCACCCACAGTGTGGACACCCGCTTTTCATTTCTGTGTACAGCTAATGACTTTCCTGTGGGGCCACTAACAGGTCAATATTGGGTTGAGAGATCAGAGTTAAGAGATTGCATATATATGTAGTGAAAGCTTGTCCTACATGCTATGTGGAATCTCTGCTCAAGGAAAGTTGTATGCACTTGGCTCTCAGAAAGTGTAGGTAGTGAAAGATATTAATTCTAGGGATTAATTCTAGGGATTATTTTCCCCTCCCAGGTGAGTTTGATATTTCTTTGTTGGATGCCTCAAAATGTGCCTGCTGAATCAGGAGCTCAACTTTTAATGGTTCTTCGGTGCCTGAGACCTCTGCGGATATTCAAACTGGTGCCCCAGATGAGGAAAGTTGTTCGAGAACTTTTCAGCGGCTTCAAGGAAATTTTCTTGGTGTGTTACATTTACCCTTTTGCCTCCCACTCACACAGCCCCACGCTGTAATGTAGTGAATGAGGGGACACCCTCGCTTGCCAAGGGTAAGTACAATCTTATTCATTGCCAGAGGACAAGAAAGGCACTAACAAAACACAACACACAGTCAGAAACTTTACCCATGGATGCTCTGACTGGTCAGTATATTTTCTTGATATAACTTATTCAATGAACGTTTTTAGTAAAAGTATAATGAAAGCAAGAATCCCAGAGGTAGAATTTGCTAATACTTCCATTCTTAACTCGTGACCCTAATTTTATTCTGAGTTTCAGTTTCCTTATCTAGAAATTAAAGGTGAGATTCAACACCACCTACTGCACAAATATTAGCAGTCAATAGATTTGGGCTTATTATTTCATTTTGTATGTCCCTAGTTTCTTACAGTGTAGACACTGTCTCTGATCTTTGGGGTGTTAACATAAAACAACTTTAAAAAAAAGTAACATACAGGTATACCCCACTTTAACCTCAGGATACAGTAATAATACTAAAAATGTGATCGAAGGAGAAAACGTTAGTTGAGCACTGATTTAGGGCCTTAGAAGAGCTGGGCTGCAGAAAAGCAATGAGTAGGAGGCTCATTGCTCGCAATCTGTTACAGAAGGATCTGTGCCTTACAAAGGAGTGATCAAAGGGTTCTTTTTATTATTGATGAGTTCTGCTCATGCATGGAAATCCTGAATTAACTTACATAAGCTTATTTTACATCGTGCTTTCTAGAAACACACCTATGGGGAGAGAACAGTTGTAGTTACAGTTGATTCTAAGGTATTTTAAAGACAGGTTGCGATGTTTCCATAGGCATAGAGTTGTTGATATTTTTAAAAGACATATTTGAAATCTCACATTTTCTTTGTGCTAAAGCCATAACATGGTGGCTTTTCACACAGCTGGAAATGAAGGAAAAAAGGATGTCATCACCTGACAGCTAATGTATATGCATCGTGGAGCCCTGATAGAATTTAGCAGAGAATTTATTTGTGCCTTTCTCCTGATGATGTTTTTGTAGAATTTTAGTATATTGAAGATATATGTTTAGATTATTCAACCAACACAGATCAGTGGTTTGTTCAGTGTTTTACTCTTTGCCACTTTTCTGTGCTGAGACCAAGGCACCATGAGACCAAGGCACCATCCAGCAGAGGGAGCACCAATTAACAGACTTACTTCTTAGGACTCCATGATCTCAATCCTCTGTGTATAGCACTTTTGTGTGCCCTCATTGCTTACAAGAAAGCAAAACCTCTCTCTCTCTAATTTATGCTCTGCTTATAAGGAGAGGAATTCATTTTGAGAAAATAGGGGAAATATAATTATTTAAACATTTTTCTTTTGTTCCACTAATGTAGATTTCAAAATCAGAAAACCCCAAGCCATATCAAAAATACCTTAGCCTAAGTGAAATAAGCCATACAGAGAAAGACAGATACCATATGGTTTCACTCTTATGTGGATCCTGAGAAACTTAAGAGAAACCCATGGGGGAGGGGAACAAAAAAAAAAAAAAAAAAAAGAGGTTAGAGTGGGAGAGAGCCAAAGCATAAGAGACTGTTGAGAACTGAGAACAAACTAAGGGTTGAAGGGGGGAGGGAGGGAGGAGAGGGTGGGTGATGGGTACTGAGGAGGGCACGTTTTGGGATGAGCACTGGGTGTTGTATGGAAACCAATTTGACAATAAATTTCATATATGAATAAAAAAAAAAATACCTTAGCCCATTTTCCTACATGAAAGTCATATGTTTTTATTCTGAAAATCCAAAACCTGTTGTTAATTCCCTCCTTTTAACATTTCAGCAAGGCTAATTGAATGACCTGTGGTGGAGAAGTTAAATAATATCATGAAAAGACCAAGAATTTCATACCACGTTCTCCAAAAAGTTGTGTCCCTATCACTGTTCAAATCAAGCCTACTGTTTAATTTTTTACCAGGAGATATGATGTCTCACCAATTTTTTTTTTTCAGGTCTCCATTCTTTTGCTGACATTAATGCTTGTTTTTGCAAGCTTTGGAGTTCAGCTTTTTGCGGGAAAACTGGCAAAGTGCAATGATCCTAACATTATTAGAAGGGTAAGTTACTGCTTTCTTTCTTTTGGGAGAAAAAATTGAGTAGTTCACCACCCCTTGGTAAACACGTGCTGACACTACGGTGATAACCCCCACGTAAGACTCAGAATTCTCTCTCCACCAACCCCTTCTGCTTAAAGGAGGCAGTCTGTTTCTTCTGGCTAGCACAGGTTTGTGGGATTAAAAGCACATTCCAGATTATTCTATTGTCTTCTGTTGTTCCAGTGTGGAACCTCTGTTGACACCTTTGGAATAGCCACTTACGATTCCAGATGCTTGTAGCTGTGAGGCTCGGACACTCTCCCTTTGGGCTTCCCTAACTTAATCCTGTCACATATCAGCAAACAGCCCCCCAGAAAGGACAAGAGGCAAAGTTTAACTGTCATACCACTGTTCATTACTTCTCACTCCATCATTCTCTTCATTGGGAAGTCCAGAATCTTCCCCAATAAGACAGCTAACAAAGACCCAAGCTTGCTTCTTCCGCTACTGCCCTTTGCCTTATCTTTCTTCAGTCAGTGTTAGTAAGTGGAGGCCAGCTCCTGGGTGACCCCAGGGTTTCATTTGCTGAACATAATGGAGTGAATACATTGCATCTTGAATAAGGTGGACAGCTCTCCTCTGAATGACCTGTCAGAGCCTCAAGTTCCTTTTGTCTTCCTTCTTTGTGTGTCCACCCTTTGCTGTCTTCAATGTCTTCTCTGTTCAGCTGGCAGAGAAGAGCACAGAACTCCCTCCATGCCTGAGGGTTATGGTCAGGGCCAAAAGCAGCACACCTCACTTCAACACACATTTCACCAGCAAGAGCTTGGCCTCCCAAGGCAGGTGGGAGAATGCAACAGGTGGCTCAGTGATGTGTCCTGCAGAAAAACAGGATGAGTGTGGTTACAATCAGCCATCACTGCTACACTATCCAGTGTGCCTTCCCTTAGGATTCTGCCTTATATTCAAGTAGATTCATGAAGTGATCCAAGTACTGCTAACGTACAAACAGCGAAAGCATTTCCTCTTTCATCCAGGTAAAATAATGCCTTAAGTCCATTAAGACGCACATACTCAAAAGGCCTAATACAGCTGAACTATAATACCTATTTCTATGTTTCCAACAAATATGGCTATCTAATACAGATTTTACATCAGTATGAAAATTTCTACATTTTCAGAGCTACTGACTGTAAACATTATTCATTCTCTGATGGTTATAAAATGCATCTTTGCCCAATCAAAGTACATTATCAATTATGTTAATAGTGAGGATTTCAGTAAGTGGCAGAGCAGAAGAGACACCACCTGTGTCTCCAGACGTTCCAGGAACTTCGATAAACCTGAGAAAACATAACAAGGAACATGGCATAAAGGTCACGATGTATCAAATTAGCTAACGAAGGAGGTAATAAAGAACTGATGTGTTAATCCACAAGCTCAGGTAAGCCAAGAAGGGTTAGTTTAGATTCCCACTGAATAGAGGCCGAAAAGATGACAACATTTCAAGATGAAACCTACGAGGAATTTTGCAGGACTCAGTATATTAATAACGGCTTAAGAGCATTGTGATTTTACACTCTCTGCTCATACCCAGACCTGGCTAAGGATAGAAGTACAAAGAGGATAAAGAACTTGTCCAAGGTCACCCTAAAATAAATGGGGAAGCTAAGATTCATGTCAAGGCAGCATGGCCCCAAATTCCTTCCTTTTCACCAGGATGTCAGACAGCCTCACCCACTCAAAGCTGGGCTCCCATGGGCTCAGAAAGACAAACTGGAAGAGGCCAAGAGGCCAAATATATCATGGGGCCTCTATTTGATACACCACAGCACAGCCAACAGGAAAAATGTTGCAGATGAATGTGTAGGGTTACTATGAGAACTTAACTGCAATATATTTTAACTGAAAAAGTGGGCTATGGAAGAGTATACGATCACATATATTCATAGGAAAAAAAACTGGAAATATAAATGCCAAAATGTCAACTGTGTTTATCTTTGGGTTATTGTAGGTAAGTTTATCCACGCTTTTTAAGTTAAAGGGATATCATTGGTGTAAGAAGGCTTTTTATTCTAAGGAATTTTACTGGCAATCCAAAGAGAAGTAATATTGGTATTCACTAAACTAGTGGAAATAAGAATGGAGATGAGGCCCAAGCGGGATGGGGAAAGCCATAGACAATTCTGCATCTTGATGCTGGGGGCCGACAAGGTGCTGGCCCATGGACAGAAACTGGGAAGCTGGGAGGACGCAAGGCTGAAGGTTGAAGGTGGCTTTAACTAGGTTAGACTTTGAAGTTCCGTTGATATATCCCAAGTGTATACACATTATACCCAGGAAAGGGGTTTAGGTTCAAAACATGACAATCATAGGCAAAGGAACAAAGATAAAACAAAAAGAAGAATAAAGACAGAAAATGAGTGAAAATCTTCTTACTCATGTTTTAGTTTTAAAGTCTTTTAAAAACAATGTTATTGGAGATATAATTCACATACTGCACAATTCACCCACTCGGAGTGTACAATTCAATAGTTTTTAGCATATCCAGAGTTTTACAACTGTCAGGCTTAGAACATTTTTTTAAATGTTTATTTATTTTGAGAGAGAGAGAGAGACAGAGAGCACGAACGGGGGAGGGGCAGGGAGAGAGGGAGAGAGAGAGAGGGAGAGAGAATCCCAAGCAGTGGAGCCTGATGTGGGGCTTGATCCCATGAAACGTGAGATCATGACCTGAGCTGAAATCAAGAGTTGGATGCTCAACTGACTGAGCCATCCAGGTGCCCCAGGCTTAGAGCATTTTTATCACTTCAAAAAGAAACATTATCTTTTAAGTTTCACCCTTATACTCCTGACACCCCCATCGCAAAACAACCACAAAACTACTTTCTGCCTTATAGAGTTCCTTGTTTTTGACTCTTATATGAATGGAATCATCTAACATGTGATCATTAGTGGCTGACTTCTTTAATTTAGCATAATGTTTTTGAGGTTCATCCATGTTGTAGCGTAGGTCAGTGCTTCATTCCTTTGTAGGACTGAAAAATATTCCATTGCATGGATACACCATATTTTATTGATGTAATTTATTCATCCACTATGAACATTTGGATCATTTCCACCTTTTGGCTATTATAATTAATGCTATTTACAATAATAATGACATAAACATTCATGTACAAGTTTCATGTAGATATCTGTGTTCATTTCTCTTGGATAAATACCTAGGGGTGGAATTTCTGGGTCCTCAAGTAATTCTTTGTTTGATTGTTTGAGGACCTGTTTTCCAAAGTGGCTGTAGCATTTTCCACTCACAGCAGCAGTGTGTAAGGGTTCTAGTAGGAGGATTCCAATTTCTGCACAACCTCGTCAAAGTTTATTTGATTTTTGATGATAGCCTTCTTAGTGGATGGCACGTGTTATCCCATCATGGTTTTGACTTGCATTTTCTGGCTGAATAATGACACTGAGCATCTTTTCATGTTCTCATTGGCCATTTGTATGTCTTCCTTGAAGGAATATCCGTTCAGATCCTTTGCCTACTTGCAAATGTTTCTAGCATGAACTTTTACCACTCATCTCTGCAGTCCTTGTCCCTGTTTGCTGGATAGCTGCCCACATCACTGTTATCACATAAAAACCTCTGTTATTCAGGGTGCCTAGGTGGCTCAGTCGGTTAAGCTTCTGACTCTTGATTTTGGCTTAGGTCATCATCTCATGGTTTGTGGGAGGGACCACTCACCAGGCTCTTTGCGGACAGCATGGAGCCTGCTTGGGACTCTGTCTCTCTCCCCTCTCTCTGCCCATTCCCTGCTTATGTGCAAACGCTGTCTTGCTCTCTCTCGCTCAAAAATAAGTAAATAAATATTTTTTAAAAAACCTGTTATTCTAGGTTAAAATGTGCTTTCTTATCTTTTATCTTTTTGGAGTTCATTTTCCGACCAGGCTCCCCCTGACCTGTTTTCTTCTATTTTAGGAGGATTGTAACGGCATATTCAGAATTAACGTAAGCGTGTCCAAGAACTTAAATTTAAAATTAAGACCTGGAGAGAAAAAGCCTGGATTTTGGGTGCCCCGTGTTTGGTAAGCATTTCAGAAAAAGATCCTGAAGAATGTGATATTTATCAGTATAAGGTTTTAAATCAATAAAATTTGGCATGAAAAGTAATTTTGCCAGAGGTGCTAAAATGATTTTAAATAATACAAGGCAAAGCCCTGAATTACAACAGGATGCAAAAATACAGTAAATGAGAGAGCAAGTGGTACACTGAGTCCCATGTTGTTTCATGTAACTAATGGATTATCACCCCTCTATTTTTCTAATACTTTGAAGTATGTAACTCGATTCGCATGGCATTAAAAATTAGTGAGGCTTAAAAGACAAAGATTTTCTATCAAATTAAAACCAAACTCGTCCTGAGTTTATACCTTTAAGGGAGAATCTGATATCCTCATAACAGTTGTATAGAAGCCCAAATCAGAAAGCTGTTTCAATTTTAAAACGCATTTACATGGAAGGATTTCCATTATTGAAACGCCGGAAAGGAGTAATCAGTAAAACAAATGATTATATCTAACTTTCTCTTTAAAATTCATTTTTCCTGAAAATGAGTTTTCAAAGCACTTACATCAAAGCTAGAAGTGCCTAGTACCTTCTTTTTCATCCATTTTACTGATGGCAATGAATGAAATCTCTCAGTGGGCTTCATTGATGAACTAAGTGTCCTATTAACTTCATTTGTCCTTTTAAATAGTCATCTGTTTTCTTTTTTTTTTTCATTTTACCTCTTAGAATAACAAGTGAACCACAGCAAAGACTCTGCTTTTGTCACAATTGATGTTTTCTAGGAAATGTCAAAACTCTTTAAAAGAAATTGCATTTCACCCAGTTGCACCCTTAGGACCCATTGCTACCAGCTTTGGCATTTCACTGTTGTGAAATTCACTTTTAAAAACAATTCAGTACAACTTATACTGGGTTTTTATTTTTTTCAATACCAAAGAATTATGAAAAAAAAAAAAAAGATGAATTTGACTGTGTGGCTTCAGCTGGAGCAGGAAGTACATAACACACAAAGATATCCTTATCCCAGTGCTAACTATAAAAGAAGTCTAATTTATATTAAAATAAAATATGAAAGAAACATAAAAAGTTTATTTTTTGTGAGGTGAAAATGCATTATTATACCATAAATAATTTATTTATATCAAGACATCAAATGGGTTTTCTTTTTCCTGCTGTTTTGGAATTTTGGCAAAAGCTTCAAAGCTGAGGTCACTAAGAGATAAAATTTCATTATATTCCAAAGAAAGCAACATTGCCAGTCCCAGCTGAACTTCCTAAAAGATTATCCACCTCCATCACCCAGCTCCAGGAAAAGAAAACACCAAATACTCAGAGACAGCATCGTGAAATTGAGTGAATTCAGTAGACGGTGCTGTGGTCGCTCCTGCTTTACTATGGGAAGAGGTCAAGGGTGCTTGTCTCCCCAGCTGAGTGAGTCCCCATGGGGACTGCGTGATATCAGAGATCGATGAGGCAAGAAGAGACACTCATGTAGGCAAGCGCTCTTCACCATCTGACAGGGGAGTTATCAGTGTTGGAGGCTCCAAATCATCACTGCCTCGGGCCAGTGATCTGAGCCATCATGATGGAACTCTGTTCCAAAGGGCTATGTGCTGGAGGGGGGTGCTCCTATTGGAGAGGCTGTGGGGATGTTTCCAGGAATGGGAACTGAGAGTCATCTGAAGACTACTCTCAGCAGGAATGACACAATGGGGCACCCTCGTGCTGGAGGATGTTTCAGAATATAGTGTATTAATAGAAAATTTGAGGTATAATAAAGTCAACAGATCAAAGGACAATTGTCATTGAAGAGCTGGTTTGTTACTCATAGTTCCCACTATGGGGCAAACCACACCACAGGAGGCCACACAGGGAAGCCCCAGGGTCAGTCGTGAGGCAGAGGGAAAAAGGGAACTGTGGACCAGAGCTTTTATTGTGGTTTCCTTGAGTTGGAATGGGTGAGTCAGGGCAAGCAGGCTTAGGATTAGCTAGTTGAGTAACTTCAATGGGCTCTGAGACACAGGGCTCTCCCTAGTGGTCTGCTACCTGGTGATCAGGGCAGGTGGATAGTGGCCCAAAGGGTGGAAGCCTGATAAAGGAGGTACTTGGGGCTGTAGGCTCTGGGTTGGTTGGTCTGTATTTGAAAAGCAAGCCCTAGGGGCTCCTGGGTGGCTCAGTCGGGTAAGTGTCCAACTTCAGCTCAGGTCACGATCTCGCGATTCATGAGTTCAAGCCTGGCATTGAACTCTGTGCTGACAGCTCAGAGCCTGGACCCTGCTTTAGATTCTGTGTGTTTCTCTCTCTCTCTCTCTCTCTCTCTGCCCCTCCCCCACTTGCTCTCGGTCTCTCTCTCCAAAGGTAAATAAACATTAATTTTTTTTTTGAAAAAAAGAAAAGCAAGCCCTAGAAAGGACTCTTCCAAGGAGGTGGGAAGGTGATGAGAGAGGCAAGAGGCCAAGGCAGGGTGATTCAGGCATTTTATCAGGTTGTCCAGAGCAAAGTGTGTCCAACACATGCATGGAGGACAGACATTAAAGTATCAAGTGTACGGAAACTAGGAACATGGCAGGCAGTGGGTTCCATGAAAGAATAGTTGCTATGACCAGAGCAACAGTGGCCAGCAGTGTGAGATATGTGGAATTTAACCTCATTTCTCTATGTCCAACTGCATCCCACTGCCATCTTGTTAAGAATCAGATGGTGGCCTGAAGAGGAGGAGGGAACAGAGTGGTCAGCCCTCTTCTTCCCTCCTCAAACCATGGGTCAGGCTGAGAGGCTGAGGATAGGGTCTTTAAATGGGTTATGGGAACAAGGGTTTGATGTAGAACAAAGTGGACTTTTCAGAATGAGACTCATATAACTGAAAGTGACAAAAAAAGCTTTGGGATCTCCAAGATGTCAGGAAGGGAGCTAGAACCCACTGGAAGGCAGTGTTGGGAGAAAAGTAAACCTGTTGCCAGTTGTACCCTCTGACATTCAGCTTGTTCCATAAAAATCCAAATTAACTGAAATGCAATGTTTCATGTAAGTTATTATTTGGGGTTTCAAGTTCAATGGCACTTTAAAAGCATAAGCTGATAGGGGGGCATCACTTGAACACCATAACAATAATGCTTGTCCATTTGTCCAGAATACCATGACTTGGGTTAGTTTTGGTAAAATAAAAATCTTTTGTCAAATAAACACCAGCTATAACTATGATAATTTTTACATTTTCCTTTGTTAGTAAGCTCATCAAGAGTTAGCAGCCAAGATGTTATAGTTTATATTGGCAAATTTATGATTAAGAATATAACATATCTGGAGAACTGGCATTAGGGAATGCTTTGATAATTATAATTAGGAAGGCTATAAATATGCACTACCTAATTCAGGTGATAGTCAGGCTTCCATATTCTCTGTTCAGATGAGTACATTCATCTTCTTCTGAATCACTCAGACTTGATGAGATAAAAATTACCTTGGTAAAAAGTATAAAATATATATATTACAAATATTGTGTGTTTTGTTTTAAGCAGAGGTCTGGGACATAGGAAAATGGGATGCATAAGAGATATCAAAAAAAAGTATTCAGTTTCAATAGATCTATTCATTGAGTGCTTACTATTCTCCAGACATTACGCTATTACTGGGGACAAGCTATGGCCCCCAATCCCTAGGAGCTTGAAATGTAATAAAGAACAGGAGATAATATTACAAATAATGTAATATGATTTGCTAAAGGCTTTGATGCTACATAAATAAGCCCCTTAGCTCACTGGAAGCTTACCTGGAGTTGACTTCTAGGTAATTTTAAATTATAGTGTGATACATTCTAGGCAGAAGATCAGATTTTTGTTGAGTCTACAGCTCAAACAATTTGAATATGTTCTTTAAGGAGAAGAATATAAATCTATCTCACTTTTGTAAGTTTAACAGAAACATGACTACTTCCAGCATCTTGGAAGGGCCATTTTGGATAGTGTTGCCCCCCGTATTTCTACATCCAAGGGCTCAGGCTGAGCTCCTCTCCTCCTGGGGGCTCCTTCTTCCCAAAGGAGCAACCCTCCTTATCGCAATCTTGGGACCTTGGGGCACTTTTCACGGGGAGGTAGAAGATTAACAAAACTGTAAGGTTAGAACCAATGTCTTAGTTTTCTCAATTGGATGGACAAGATTATGATATTTTTAAAATTTTTTAATTGACTGGAAAAGATTATATACAACATTATATACATATATTATTATATATTATATTATATATATATATGATTATATATTATATACAGGCTTCCAGATCAAGGAAGGGCGACAGGAAAATTACAACAATGGATTAGGCTTGGGATTTATTGAAGTCCTCTGTAGTTATAGGTAAAGTTTAAAACTTCCCAATTTTAGTAGCATGAACATAGCATGAACATCTTAGATGATTAAAACTGATACTTATTTTTTTAATGTGATGTACTCTCCCAACTATTTAAGTCTATGAGTCTCCATTTTATTTTTCTTGGTTTAGCCTAAAAGTGTATTTTTAACATATTCTAACTTCTAAAGGATGTGGAACATGAAAGTACTTTGGGATGCTGCATATTCAGCTAAAAAAGCACTTTTACATAAAGAAAATGGATGGGTAAGAAAGTTCAACATCGGATCCGAGAGCTGGCCTGCTTAGCTTAAAAAAAATCCTTATTCAAGAAAACTGTGGCATCTGCAGAATCCTTACAGCTTCTGTCTGCTGTAAAATATATTAAATTTAATTGAAACCCCAAAGGAAGAAATGGTGGAAAAATCCAAGAGAATATGCTTATACTTTCATATGTAAAAAATATAAATCAGAACCCCAAAATAGGAATTTCTGAGTGGGGCTTTTGCACTATGTGGAAAACGTTTCTACCAATCATCCTTAAACCTTAGGAGCAAGTCAGTTTAGTTGTATGGTTTCTTATTAGATCCCCATCTATTTAATGCTTTAAAAAAGAAAACTTATAAAGGTGAATTGCATGATTGTTTCTATGATGTTAAAATTATATATATATATATATATATATATATGGTGGTAGAGGGGCACCTGAGTGGCTCAGTTGGTTAAGTGGGCGACTCTTGATCTCAGCTCAGGTCTTCATCTCAGGGTCATGAGTTCAAGTCCCGCATTGGGCTCTGTGCTGTACACGAAGCCTACTTAAAAAAAAAAGGTGTAGAAAAATACTAACCCAGATTTTCTCCAGAGTATCACCTTCTGTGAAGGTTAAATTTTGATAAATGAGCTAATAGGAAAAAAAATGATCAAAATATAATTTGGCCATGCTTCTATAGGCCCACTTTTTTTAGTAGTCCTGGGACCAATTCTCCATCAAACTCAGGAAATACAGTGATAGTCATGACTTTGCAGTGTGTAGTTGTCTAGGTCTTGTAATTATTTTAAATAGTCTAATAAGAGGAAAAAGGAAAACAGTGAAATCTTCTATGGACAAGAAAAATGTTAGACAAGACCCATAATGACTAAGGGAGATGTAATATATTAAAAAAAAAAATCACTTTCTTTCGTGGGAAGAAAAAAGTAAAAACACGTTAGTAAAAAACAAAAAATGCAATATGCCCCCTCAAAAACAAAAACAAAAACAAAAACAAACAAACAAACAAAAAATAATAGTGGAGCCAAAGTGTTTTAAATACCAGCAATCAAGTGTGGATGTAGACAGCATACTGCAATGTTGGGGTCTACAAGAAGTCTCTGTTGAGAACACCCAGAGTTAGTGAGAGAAAAAAAAAAATCCAACTGGGAGAAAATGATCTGGAAACATGTAGACTACCAGCAAACACCTCTGGCCACTCAGGGACTTCCAAATGCATCACTACTTTACAAAGTGATGTTCCCATGATGTCACAGAATTAAAGAAAGTGGCTAGATTCTACTCTTTTTATACTTGCTATATTAACATCAGGAATTGTAATTTATCCTTTAGAGAAGTTTTCAATTTTAAAACTATTGCAAAATTCATATCCAAACTCCAGCGCCCCTTTGTGAGAATATGCTATGCAGTTTATAACCAGAAAGCATACTTCCAGCCCTCCATATAATCAGGACGAGCCAGAAACGTCAAGGAACCTCTAGAGCCAGAACTTGAATTGTTGTGTTTTGTTGTTCGTTAAGAACACCCCATGATTACCTAATAATTAATTAAATTTTAAGAAATAATAACATATTCATGCACTTTTCTGATTTAGCAAATGAATGCCAGCTAGCCCGCCTTCCAAATGCTAAGTACACCCCGCACCCAAGATTGGAAAGAACTACAGATATTTGCCTTAGGGTGCTTCTCATCGGAATTTCACAGAACATTCTTCTTTCTGACTTGCAGGGCAAATCCTCGGAATTTTAATTTTGACAATGTGGGAAATGCCATGCTGGCATTGTTTGAAGTTCTGTCCCTGAAAGGCTGGGTGGAAGTGAGGGATGTTATTATTCATCGTGTGGGGCCGGTAAGCAAGCACACGGAATCCTTTGAATGTGTCAACAGCTGCTCTCATTTGCTTTGATGAATAACCGTATTTTTCATTTATACAGATGCACGGGATCTACATTCATGTGTTTGTATTCCTGGGTTGCATGATTGGACTGACCCTTTTTGTTGGAGTAGTTATTGCTAATTTCAATGAAAACAAGGTAAGAATTCTTGGTTTGAATACCGCAGGGTTTATTCTTTTCTAGCCACTTGCTTTGAGCTCTCTTTTTCTCACACGGCATGAAGTCGCATTAAACCATAATGTGACTGGTGTAAATAATCTCTATAACTATTTTACAAGCTACCTCATCGCTGCCTTTCAGGCACATTATTTAAGAGCACAGTTCTCTCGCGAAATTTCCCCTTTTGGTGATGGTGTCATTAATTCGCTGACAACTGAAAGGCACATCTCCTATTGTTCAAATTGAAAGGATGTGCAGCAAGTTATTAAAATACAATAGCTGAACTAACTGTGCACTGATTGCAGGTAATATTACTTTCACACAATGTAAATTGGATGCTTCTTTGTAACGCTATAGGTGAACTCAGAATTTTGATGGGGCTGGGGTGCAGTAGAAATGTTAAATCCTAATTCATTGAATATAAAGAAGATTTTCTAATTTCATATAAAAACTTTACGTACTTTATGAACTCGGGAAGCATGCTGAGTTCAGAGCAACTCTAACAATCACTATAAGAGCTCCCGAATGGGAAAACAGCAAGTGTGGTTTCCTGTCAAAGAGTGAGTTTGGGAGAGAACATTCTATGTCGTTCTTCTGTCCATGGCTGATGTGCACTCTAGTATGTAAGGATCTGTCTTCTGGAATCATAATTGAAGTGCATACAGCTTTTTAAAAAATTTTTTTATGTTTTTTTATTTTTGAGAGAGAGAGACAGAATGCAAGTGGGGGAACGGGCAGAGAGAGAGGGAGACACAGAATCCAAAGCAGGCTCCAGGCTCCGAACTGTCAGCACAGAGCTTGATGGTGGGCTCAAACTCACGAACCGTGAGATCATGACCTGAGCCAAAGTCAGACATTTAACCCAGGTACCCTGGTGGATACAGCTTTTGAGCACTTACTACATACTAAGGTTTACATATGCCATTTTAAGTTCCCACAACTCTGAAATGCACAGTGGAAGAAAACACAGAGCTTACGGAGGTGACATGACTTGTCTGGGGCTTTTAAGGTGTAGAAAATGGGGTCACAATTCAGAAGTGGTGCCCACTCTGCAGAGTCTGAAATTCTTCCGAGAATATAAAAATGTCACTCTGCACTGAATTAAAGCTAGGTATGACCCTCCTGTGATTCATGACCAGGACAGGATCGCATGCAAGCACATCCGAGCCCACTGGCTAGGGCAGCTGCACATGGGACTATATCATTCACACACACCTCCACTCCCTGGGCTCTGCATGTGTGGTTCCAGCTACCCAGTTGATGGCCACCATTGATGTGTGCCTAATGAGGATGTTATTTGGTGCGGGCTTTCAAAGGGTGTGGCTTAAAAATCTCCACTTTGGGCCCCAATACTACTCCAACCCACAGAAACATGGGATTTTAGAATAAGAAAGGATAGAGAGAGATCATATTGCCCAGCCCCCTATTTTACTGTAACACATTCATAAATGAGTGTCTCTAAGCCCTAAAGTGTGTTCAATTTGATACCAAGCAGAAGGAGGAAGATGGGTCTCTTCAGATGCCATTGAGCCTTGGCACTGGAGCAGACAACGGAGATTCCTGAACAAGAGCAGAAGCCAGTCAGCCAAGTAGAGAGCTTAGGTCCTCTGAGCAGACACCTGATTTCAGGAGAATCAGGTCCTATGGCAGCTCACAAATCAGCGACATAAATGCAGCAACATAGAATGTTCAGCAACCAGAGACAAATATATAATCAATTGAAGCTCTTGAGTTTGGAGGCCTGGCTGAAGTAAGACGAGTATCAGGAGGCCTACTCACAGTACTGGTTGTATTAATGTGCTGAGGGAAGAAAGAAGCATCTTGGCCTTGAGAAGGGGAACACGGACTTAAGCTCAAGTGGGTGCTGGGTGCTTACAGAAAGAGGAAAAGTGGAAGAAAACATGACAAACCTGATTATTTAATTGATAATGAAAATTTATGAGTTATATGAACCATTTAGGAGGGATTTTTTTTTTCCCAGTAAGCTTTTCAGGTGGTAGCACATGAGCTGCTGTATAACCGCATTTATTGATTTATTATTTAGTCATTCAACAGATTTCTTTGAGAACTTCACTGGGGCCAGACCCGGGAACATAAAAACTAAACACACAAACTAAACACTAAACACATAAAGATTTCTGCCCTCATGGAGCTCACATTCTAATGGTCAAACCCAAAAGTATGTAAATAGATTTCCAAATATATAGGCAATAGGGAAATATAAAGATACGGGAGATAGGGCAAGCTTTGGGGGCAACATTTGCACAATTCTGAATTATGCAAATTTATGTCTTCCCTGGAAAATGCAACCTTGTTTAAAAAAGTTCAAAGTTTATACTAGTAATATATATATATTTAATTTCTCAATTATGAGATAACAGTTTGATTAATAAACTTAATGCACAATAATAAACTTCCAGAGGTTTTCTGATATTAATGATCAGACGATACCACCACGCTTATTATTCTTTTGGCTCATTTCAGAGCTCAACTTTCTAAAATATTTTGTTTTGTATAATAAAGAAATAATATCAATATCTCTAGCACCCAGAGAACCCAAAATATTTGTTTGCAGATAGTAAGAAAAATGGCTTAGCAATATCAATATCAGAAAAATTAGTTGAAAACAAATATCATTATTAGGAATAAACAGTGTAATTAGATAATTGCAGAAGAAATGAATTACCAACAAAGTATAGAACTCCTGAACCCTAAAATATATGAAGCAAAAATTAACCAAATTATTTTAAAAAGCCAGCAAGTCCAAAATCATAGTGAAAGATATTAACATATATCCCTAAGAAACTCATAAATCAGAAAAAAAAGAAAATATGAGATTTGGCACAATACAAACATTTGATCTACTGGACATATGAATAACCCAGAGTCCAGCAATTTTCAAGTATAAAATGTACTGCCCAAAGGTCATAAAAAATAGTTACCAAAATATTGGTAATGTACAGAACATATTCTCTACAATAATAAAAAAAGATAACAAAAGATTCCTCAGATGTTGGAAATATTAAGACAACATTCTAAATAATTTATGAGTAACAGAAGAAATTAGAATAGAAACTCTTAAGACATTTAGATAAATCATTTATAAAAATCACATATAAAAGCTCACAAGATATAGATAAATCAATTAGAGAAACTTGTAACTTTAAGTGTATGTTCAAGAAAATTCAAAGATTAATTAGTAATATGTCAGATGTCCAAATCAATAAATTATAATAAGATCAACAAAGTAAAATGGAAGAAAGTAAAAAAGATAAGGACAGAAATTAATGATATAGAAAACAAAGATATTATAAAAGATTCAAGAATGACAAAAGCTTATTCTTTAAAAAAAATTAAATTGACAAACCTCTCTCAAGGCTAAGCATGAACAAAAGTATGGAAAAGGAAAGTAAACAAGCTATGGTGAGTCAAACAGGATGGGTAATGTTACAGAGATAGAAAGTTAGATTTAGAACAGAGCTAAAAGCCCCAGGAAGACCAGGTATATATAAAGGAGAAGTAGCATGATAAATCAGTGGAGGGGGTGAGACCATCAATAAGAGGTGCTGGGGTCATTGTCTAGATATAAGAAATTAAACAGAGATTTCTACCTCACAGCATACTCAGAAATGAATTCCAGAAGGATGAAAGACCTAGCTGTGAAAAGCCATTTTCAACCTTGTAGAATTTATTTTTGACCCTGGAGGAGTTGTGGATTTCTTGACTTTAACCATAAAGTGGAATTCATAAAGAGAGAAATTTACAGATTAGATTACATTAAAATAAAAAGTTTCTGAGACATAAGAGACTTGATAAGGCAAAAAAAATTTTTTTAGAAAGCAAGCTAAGACTAAGAGAAAATATTTACAATTCACATAACTGACAGAAGATTAATATCCAGAATATATTAAGAATTTCTATAAAACCTCTAAAAGTAAATATCCAAATACAAAAATGAGCAAAGAATATGAACAGGCAATTCACATAGGAAGATACAAGAATCATCACCCCTATTTACTCATATAAAAAACATTTCATCTCATTGATATTAAAACTAAAGTGGACACATTTCCCACCCATCATGGCCAAATTAAAATATCTAACAATATCAAGTACTGGCAAGAATATTAGGACATTGGAACACTTGGAGATGGCTAGCAGCGAATTTCCTTGGTTGTTTCTCTTTGGACAGCAACTTCACAATATCTGGTAAACATAAAGATGTGTAAATTCCTAAACCCCAGCAATTCCTCTCCTAGAGATTTGCTATTAAGGAAATCTCGTAGGTATTCACCATGAGACTGTAGACATGTACTTACTGCAACATTTTTATACTACATAAACCTAAAGCAAATAACTTCTGATATATTTGTACAGTGGGATACTCTATGAGCAGTTAAACCAATTAGATCTGGTGTCTAGTGGTATGCAAGACATAGTGTTCAATGAAGATAAAAACTAACTGCATTAAGAAGCCCATATTGAATACCATTTATATCACTTTTTAAAATTCAAAACAAATATGTTCTTATGTATTGATATATACACAAACAGCAAAAGTCTGAAAGCAGTGGGGAGGACACATCCTTAAAGGACAGTCTTCAGCTCTGTAGAAAGAAGGGAAGAATGGGAGTGGGGTGGGGGTTCAGTTTCTTAAACTATATTTCTGCCTTTATAAATTAGCGTATAAATAATGTATACATTTCTGCCTTTATAAATTAGTGTATAAAAAATGTATAATTTGTATACATTATACATATACAAATAATTTCATGTATAAATACATGAAATGTCATGTAATATATTTATATGCATTTTAATAAAGTACTCATATATATATGGTAAAGAATATCTGATCTCACTCAGCCATTTGTCACAGCATTAATACTTAAAGATTCAAATTCTGTGATTTCATACTGCTTAAAAATAGTTTTGCAATTGAGGCACCTGGGTGGCCTAGTCAGTTGAGTGTCTGGTTCCTGATCTCGGCTCAGGTCATGATCTCACAATTTGTGAGATTAAGCCCCGTGTTGGGCTCTGTGCTGACAACGTGGCACCTGCTTGGGATTGTCTCTCTCCCACTCCGTCTCTTCCCCTCCCTCACTCACCTTCTGTCTCTCTCAGAATAAATAAATAAAAAGTTTTGCGACAGTGTATAGCAGAATGATTTTTTTTAAAGACACAATCAGATTGACAAGCTACAATTTTACTGCAGCATTCCCCACAAAATGAAGGGAAACTAACCACTATTAGAGTGGGTATCCCTTTTTGAAAATTTGATTGTGTAGGGAACCTTCTTTAGGTGTTCCCAAACCTGAAATTTATACATGTTCGAAGATACCAGTTGAAGGCTGCTGGATCTTCTCTGAGGCTTGTGGCCACCCTTTTTGGGACCCCTCTAAAGACCGAATTTGAGAATTGTGACCACGTCTATCGAACCACCATGGTATTTGAAGAATATCTTTATCATATACTCCCAAATTAGTCCTGTTGGTATCACCACCACCCCATTTGCAATGACCTTGGTGTGGAGTAGACGACATAAGGCCTTTTTCTGCTTTCCTTTGTTTATTAAGGGGACAGCTCTGCTGACTGTAGATCAGAGAAGATGGGAAGATCTGAAGAGCCGACTGAAGATAGCACAGCCTCTTCATCTCCCACCTCGCCCGGGTATCAAAGATGCTCTGATTTTATTCATGTTGGGCACCAGTGTTCGTGATTCCCCAGGAGTCTAAGATTTCAATTAAAATAATAATCGTGAGGCCACTAGGCGGTTGTGCATAAGTTAATATAGAAACAGGCTCCAAACTACAGATCTCTCCATAGGCTATTAAAATCAACCACCCAAAGGCTGTGCTTCAGTGCTCTCAGGATAAGCCCTAATGAAAAAATGAATTTTTAAATAAAATATATTTGTGCTTCGCTCTTAAACATATGAGTGAAATGTATTAAACTGACAGAAATTGAATGATGCGGTTCTCCTTCCAATACAGACGGCGTCATGCACCGTCGTCTTAAATATTCAGAACCAGCCATTCCTGCAAAACACTACACAATAGATTGAACTATAGGGGGAAAAAGGTAATGAGTTTTAAAATGAGCATTAAAGGAAATGAAAGACAAGAAAGTAAATGTGACCTATGTCTGAAATGCCCTTGCCTCAACCTTTCTTTTGCAGATAATGATGGTTTTAGAGCTAAGATGTATGACATTACCCAGCATCCGTTCTTTAAGAGGACAATTGCATTGCTTGTCCTGGCCCAGTCAGTGCTGCTGTCCGTCAAGGTACTTTATTTCACAGTGAAGCTCTGAGAAGCACTTTTTCGTTCATTGGTGCATCCAAGAATATTGCAAGGGGCCATATCCATTCACAGTCTACGTTCTTTAGTATAAAAAATTAAAATTCATAGTCATGTTCAAATGAGAAAAAGAGGGGAAGGTCTTTATGTGTCTGATGGATATGGACAAAGACCTGGATGCTGTTTCTCTTACAGTGGGATGTGGAGGACCCAGTGACCGTTCCTTTGGCAACAATGTCAGTTGTTTTCACCTTCATCTTTGTTCTAGAGGTACGGTAATGAGCCAGCTGGCTCTGGGGGCTGTGGTGCACATTGTAAAGTAAAATAGTGCCCTCCTTTGATAGCACTGACTTTCAGCTCTGTGTTCCATTGCTTTTGAAGTCTTTTTTGGGGAGAGGGGTAGCGTGCTCTTAGGATATTTTCCTTTTTAGGCCGTTGTGCTTAACTTGAACAAAGATTTCACTTTATCTTTCAGATTTTTCTAACCACAGGAATTGCTAACTGCTGTTGATTGTTGTATCTGAATGTTGGCCTGTCTGGTTATGTGAGTTCAAATATTTGTAGCGAACTGCACAAACCACTGTAATTCAGGGACTCAAATTGCAATGTGGTGGCGAAGGGAATTGGCCCAGACAAGATTATTTTAATATATAGTCCACATAATATCACTTTCCAGCACAATCTTCTTTGAAATACAAGCAGATTCTTATTTCACCCTGTACTGGTTGATGTTTCCCAAAATCTATGGTCTTTTACTTGAGGAAGAAAAATGTCTTGCTCTCAGAACTAGTCATAAAACAAGGAGAAAAGAGCATGGAGATACATATTTGTAACCTATCCTACTTTAAAATTTAGATAGTGGATCAATCTATATCTGTATCTCTGTCTATCTATCTATCCTATCATCTATCATCTCTTAGTAATAAATTCTTTCTTTGGTTTCTACATCCTCTAAAAATGTGTGCCTCAATGGGGTGCCTGGGTGGCTTAGTCAGTTGAGCATCAGACTCTTGATTTCAGCTCAGGTCATGATCTCATGGTTCATGAGTTCAAGCCCCATGTCAGGCTTTGCGCTGACAGCTCTCCCCTCTCTCCCTCTCTCTCTCTCTCTGTCTGCCCCTCCCCTGTTCTCGTTCCCTCTCTCTTTCCCCCTCTCTCTCTCTTTCTCTCTCTCAAAAATAAATAAACATTAAAGAAAATTTTACATTAATTTAAAATGATGTAAAATTATGTGCCTCAAGTTAACGCATTTCAATATATGTTGAACACTCAGCCTCTATTTACTGTCTACATTATTTTCCCCCAGGTTACAATGAAGATCATAGCAATGTCGCCTGCCGGCTTCTGGCAAAGCAGAAGAAACCGATATGATCTGCTGGTGACATCGCTTGGCGTGGTCTGGGTGGTACTTCACTTTGCCCTCCTGGTATGCATGTAATAAAAGTTTATTTTAGCTAATAACTTCAGTTCAGGTAACCCTGTTTCCAGTCTCATTTCACTCTGTGTCAGCCTACCCTCAGGTGTCTGATTAACCTCCCTACATCCAGCTTTGACCGTGATAGGCCCTCAGACATGCTTGCATGTACATTCCCCTACCCTCTTCACACAAACAAAATCTGGCCCCTCAGATTCCTAGAGTGTGCAAATCAGAAGGAGAAACTTGAAAATGTCTGGTTTAACTCTCATTTTCCCAAAGGATGAAAATAAGAGAGAGAGAGAAAAAAAATGGAAACAGAGATTACGAGACCTGCCTAAATTCACATGCAAGCTGGTATCAGAAAACTCAAACCCAGTCTTTTGAATTGAAATGTAGCATCAATGCGACTACATTATAATCAGTATTTCACAGTGGGATTCTCAGGCACTTTAGAAGCCTTATTTTCTATTAAACATCCAGCAGCCTTTTCTCTAAAGCATATCGTTCTTTGTGTTTATACCTGAGTTCTCGCTAGCTTGCCTAAAATGCCTTGAGCTTCTCCAACTTCCATTTAGTCTGAGGTCCAGCTCAAAACCTACACCCGTGGGTATGCCTGATTAAGATCTAGAGCCGTGTTGTCCAATAGGAATAAAATGTGACCACGGATGCAATTTCAAATTGCCTAGGAGCCACATTAAAAAAATTAAAAAGGAACAGATGTTGTGGTGCCTGGGTGGTTCAGTCAGTTGAGCGCCCAACCCTTGATTTTGGCTCAGGACATGATCTCAACAGTTCATGGGATGAAGCCCTGCATTGGGCTCTGTGCTGAGAGTGGGGAGCCTGCTTAGGATTCTCTCTCCCTCTCTATCTGCCCCTCCACCACTTGCATGGGCTCTCTCTCTCTCTCAAAATAAATACTTTTTTTAAAGGAACAGATGGCATGAATTTAATAATGTATTTTAACCTACCATATCTAACGTACTATCATTTCAATATGTCAGCAATATAAAAATTATTAAGAAAACAGGTTACATCCTTTTTTTTTGGTACTAAATCTTTGATTGAATGTGTATTTTATATTTACAGCACATCCTAATCTAGACTCACTACATTTCAAGTGTTCGGTAACCACATGTGGCTGGTGGCTACCATACTGGACAGTGGAGTTCTAGAAGTCCCTACTCTGGGCTCCACCATTTTCCAGGCTTGGTCAAGTTATTTGTCTTCAGTGATCCTTTGCTCCCTGCTCTGAACTTGGGGATATAACTTCATAATCTATCCATTCTACATGGGCATTATAAAGATAAAGCATGTGAAATTTTTCTTTTTTTTTAATGTTTATTTTAAAGAGAGAGAGACATAATGCAAGGGGGGAGGGTGGAGAGAGAAGGAGACACAGAACCTGAAGCAGGCTCCAAGCTCTGAGCTGTCAGCACAGAGCCCAATGCAGGGCTTGAACTCCCAAACAATGAGATCATGACCTGAGCCGAAGTCGGACACTTAACCAACTGAGCCACCCAGGCACCCGTAACATGTGAAATTTTTCTAACTGTAAAAAGCACAACACCCCAACACATTATCAATACCTTCTCTTTTTTGTTAGTCTTCCTCAGCGCCAGCCAAAATTAATATTATCAGATTTTCCTGGTCTCTTCTATCTGTTCTTCCATCCTCCCCAGTGTTAGAGTCATGCCAGAAAAGTTCCATCAAACAGAGAACCCATTTGTACCTCACAAAGGGTGTGCTTTAGTATGAAATTTCTGTGCTCAGGCAGATAGGTATTGAGTGTCCTTCTTAAAACAACTGTCACCGTCAGCATCAGGGGCTGTGCCAAGCCTAGGTGGGCTCTCAGTCACCCTGATCCATTTCTTCGAATAATGAGTGGTTTTGAGCACCAAAGATGTGTAAGTCACCATGCTGGAGATTGAGAAGAATGCACAGATCAAAACAAAGGCAGCCATTGCTCTCATGGACATCACAGTCTGGAAAGTTTGTGTTTTGTTTCGTTTCAAAGTTTTACGCCAGAATGTTTCATCATGATCCAAGAGGCTGGGAGGGCAGGTGTGGTTTGGGACAAGTAGGCATTCATGGAACGTTCCCAAGTCAATGAGAGCTGCAGCCATAGTGAGGCAGATGGAGGAGAGACACGTATTCCTGCAATGACACAAAACGAGTGGGAGGTGGCTGCGTCAGAGAGGTCCTGGAAAGTGTCCCTGCAGAAGTGACGATTGGGTTCAGCCTGTAGGATGAGGGTATGTTGGCGGCTGTCCCTGTGATGGAATGCTACGGGAGGGAAATAGTGTGCCTGGAGTAGAAGGAGCAAGGGGCACATGGCACAAGGTCTGGACGGGACCTCTCAGGACCAGGTGAAGGATGGGGGTGCTGTCACTTCCAGAATGCAAAGTGAGAAAGCCTGTATAGCAAATCTGGAACTAACATAGAAAGGGGAAGCAAGGTCCATGTTTTTAGCTTTCCCTAGACAAATATAGCCAAAAACTACTTGGTCCAAAAGAAGAGTAGGGCAGGCTTCCTAATCCTAGATGTCCCAGAGAGGACATCTCACACGGGAAAGACTAACTTGCCTATTCTGCCCGACTGCTTTTGTTCTTTCCCAAGAAGCTTCTGTCCTGGAAAAATACTCATCCTCCACTCTACTTTGCACTCTCTGTGGCCTATTGTGAAGGGAGATGCAGTATTTGTTCCCATCTAAGCTATTTCTATGCAGACACATTCATTTCCTTGTACCTCAAGGATATTCAGCGGACCCCCTTCCCGGGGGCCCATATGTGACAGTTGTCATTTGGCGAGGCGACACTCCTTGAGAAAAGTCACGCTTTGGCATCAGTTTAATGCCACAGTTGTTATTGCAGCTCTAGCTGGTGGGATCTTTGTTTCCGAGATGAAACTTTCTTAGTCATAAAGTGCACCCAGTCATCTCTTGCTGCCCATTGCACACTTGAAGAATGAGCTGGATGTGTTTCTGGGCTGGACAGACATTCTCTGCAATCAGCTTACACGATGTGGCCGGCTGGTCTCCAAAGTCTCCGGAGACCTTCTGAGAGGAGGAAGCTGACCTCCTGCAATCTTTTCCAACTCTAGACCTTCTTTGCCAGGGTTCCTGCATTTTTGGTCTCACTTGACATCCTCATGTTGCACTGTTACCCCGAGTTTTTCTTGCTCCTCAAAGGAGCCGGTCACTATTTTATGTAAAACTTATTTTAGTTTTAAAATACAGAATTCAGCTGAGCAAAACAGAGACCGAAGTTTCATTTAAGATTTGATTTTATAGCTAATATTTATTCATGAGTTTTGGCAGTGACCTTTTCAGCACCTTTTAAAGATAAATTTCTTATAAGAATTTTCACATTTTATTAAACTAATTACTCAGTAGACTTCACAGAAGACTTAAAATGAAAACTGGAATTGTCACAAGATCTCCCGAGCACATGGTGAGTGGCTGTCTTCTGTTTAAATTTCAGAACGCGTATACCTACATGATGGGCGCCTGCGTGATTGTCTTCCGGTTTTTCTCTATCTGTGGAAAGCATGTGAGTACGTTGTAAAGGATACTATCAACGGTTGCATATGCACAGAAGAAAGGAGCGATGCCTGATTGACTTCGGCTGTCCATCTGGGTCTTCAGGGCGGAAGTTAACAAATTGGTAGTCATCCTAAGTCCAAATGAGCAAATATTAAATATTAAAATGAATCGGCAGCTTAGTTATCTTGTGATACATCTGACATTTCTGTTCTTTTATTTCTTCTTCATATTGGCTAAATTAACTCAGTCATCAACTAAAGACAACATCTCAGGCATGAAAGCGAAAACCAATGCTCTTTCTTAGTATTTCTTTATTTTTATTGTTTCTATCTGAATAAGCTTACTTTACTGGAAAGAAGAATCATCTTTAGTGAAGATTCGTGATTCTATGACCCCAGATTTCTTTATATTCTTTGTTATTGCATATATTGCATATATGTGGAATATATTGCATATATTCCACATATATTTTTCATTTTTTAATGTA